CTACAACATTTGTTTTTAAATGTGCTCTTTAAGTAAACTGATTTGACTTTAACTAATATTCATCTTGATCAGAATCAGAATCAGAAACGGTTTATTGACATGGTATGTTACACATACAAGGAATTTGGCTTGGTGATCGGTGCGTGACAATAAACACTGTTTAATATGAAAATGTACGATAAAATATGACAAACAAATGGATATAAGAGAGCTCTTGAAGGAGCAGAAACAACTCACAGCAGTGAGAGCTGCATGTTTTTCAATGTAAGTGACAAGTCACCCGATTTCTCATGTAACCGTAAGGACTTCATCTCAGTCTTGTGGCTGTGATTCTATCTTCAGAAGAAATTATGTGGCCCCAGATTGGCCCCGACGTGGTATTTGGTGGGTCTCTTGCATCCGCAGAACTTAACTTAGCTCAGTCTGTGATTATTGATGATTGAATCAGGCGTCCCACAGGAAGCTCTCGGGCCTTCAGTGGATCATTGTGCATCACCTCCTCCCTCTTTCTGCTGGAGTAATTTCTGAAGGTACGGCGGTCATGTGAGCCGAGCTGCTGAACGTGCAACCACTTATCTTCACCATTTTACAATCCAGTGCTAATTCTGTGTTGATATCATTTTGAGGGAATCCAAATCATGCTTGGCAGCCACGTGTGTGTGTGTGTGTGTGTGTGTGTGTGTGTGTGTGTGTGTGTGTGAACATCATGAGATTTCCATCAATACTAACAGCCTGCAGAGACTGCCTCGGTTCTTTTTCACACAATCACGAGTTTCATTGCCGTATGTGAATGTGTGTGTGTGTGTGTGTGTGTGTGTGTGTCCAACTCAATATTTGCTGTGCAAACTGGATGTCATGAAATCAAAAATTGGAGAGTGCACGTTACGACGACGCCACCGAAGGTAAAGTTTAATCTGAGGAGAGGACGGAGTGAATGAAGACGTGGCCCCGGGTTGTAAAGTCAGGATGTCAGGGCACACGTGTGAGCGGAGCATGTGTTTGTCTGTAATCACTGACAGCTCCTCCGCTCACGTGTCACACACATGAACCCTTTAGCCCTGGAATTGGTTAAAGTTTAACTGCCATTTTCCAAACACATTTACCTTGTGTACATACTAGGTTGTTTCTCCTCACAGCGAAACACAAGAGTTCATGACTACAATTGACAAATAATCTGTTTCGCAAACGTACTTGGAAATAAACCTGCATTAACACCAGCACACAATTATTGGTAAAAGCTTAGTATGAAGGAAAATATTGTTTTATGAACCAAGTCAAAAGGTCCAGTAGCCCAGATGGCCGATCAATGGTGGGCCATTGACTCTGTGCTGACCTACCACATGTTCCAGAAAATAATTTTAAAAGAGTGTAAAAACTTTGTTTTTCTTTTTTCTTCCTCAGCATTTGTGACCATACAGGCCTCATATGAAATAGAACGATACAAATCAAACATTTTGTTTATTAAAAATGTTGTACATTTTGCCATATATGTGATTTTGTATGTCTTAGAGTTGTGAAAAAAGTTTTGGTGCCTGCCCAAATTCATTCACTGAGTCCAGTTAGCGATGGTGACATAATAATTACAAATTGACCAAAACAATAATAACCAGTGTGTCTTGGAAACAGGTATGCAAGCTACACAAAGTCGTCTCTTAATAAGGTGACTGTGACACATAGAACTTGCCAGGGATTACTTCACAGTGAGGGATTCCCCAAATCAATTCCCTTTATAAGGGAGCACCCTAATATGGTCGACACGCAGGAGACAGGAACCTCCATGTTTGACTCAAAGGGACTCACACCTTGAGAGTTGTGTTTACAGGTTTACATGCACAGCAACAGCTGACTCACTATGTTATTCTTATTTTGAAGCCAACGGAATTTGTATTATTCATTCCAGGAAGTTAGATATAGAGATACAAGCTCATTGACATATCAATAATAACCTGAAAATAGCATGCAACAAAAACAAGTTGAAGCTTCTACAAGCTACTTTAATTCTGTCTTAATTTCTCCGGTCTATGTGCACAAAAGTAGCACCGTTTCGGAGCACCAGAGACTCTTTAGACAACCTCTCATTTAACTGCAGCACTGGTCTGACGGTTTTCCCCGCGTAGTCCTGGTTCTGGTTCGAAAATGTTGAAACAGACCTGTCGTACAGTCATTGAACTGAATTATGTATCTCTGCTATACAGTAATGGTTAAAACGTGCTAACATTAGTCACATTGCAAGCATTGATGTTAAGCAGCAACAACAAACAATCTGTTCCTAAAAAGTACAGCCTGTCCACATTGTCCAAAACATGCTTTTGCTGCAAAGTTCTGGCCGTCGGTCTGTTTGTGCTCAGAGGCCACCCCAAAAGCCGACAGAAGGACTGTTTGCTCTCAAAGGTCAGACTAACATTTTATTTGACTATTTCCAGACGGACCTGCACAGAAGACACCGACATGTTGGCCAAAACAGACAATGAGCAAACCAAACAAAAATACATTTCCCTTTCGCCAACAGACGCCCACAGTTCAGTGTCCCCGGGGTTCATGTTGCCATTTTTCTCGCAAATAACAACTTTCCCCAGTATTGCAAATTTGCAAATGGGTTTACACGGTCTAGTCATGCAGATTTTACAAGTAACTGGTGTAAAGGCAGATTTTTTGCAGAACCTTAACCACCAGGTAAGAGATTTTGGTAGAAGTGACACAACAGATCTCATTTGCTATGTAAAGTATGATGGAATGTCGCTGTCATCAAATGCCCAATGCTTCACTCCCAGCATTCTTGGTGTGAATCGTAAGGATTATGTGCCCAGTACCCTGAAAATGGTTGAACTGCCAACTCTTCTTAGGTTTTGAGAGACACAACAAACCTTTCTCCCTATTTCAAGTGCTCGAGACCACTTTTTCAGAGGTTTTCTCAATAAAGAACTTGGCTGTTAGAGCAGACCCTGTTATGCAACGGTAGTAATAAGCACCCACACAGAGAGAATCACAGCTTAACTACCTAACTGTGTATTAGAGCATTAGAGCGGTGGTTGTAGAGCGAATGGTTTGCACGCTATCCAGGGAACACCAGGCGAGACTGATTATCACTCAGAACCACAAGGTTCCAGCGTTGCATGAGGGATGGGAATGTGTGGTGGTTAGTTGGTCCGTCGGCCCACCGCTTTGGTCCACACAAAAATATCTCAAGAGCTATAAAGATAGCCATGAATGATCCCAATTGGCTTTTACGATCCCGACTTTTCTTTTGGCGCCACCAACAGATTTACTTTTTCACACTGTTACCTTTAATTAGCAAATATTATGCTTGGTAAGTATAACCTGATAAACTAGGGGGCGTTAGCATTTTTAACTTCGAGCATAGTAGCATCTTGATGTTAGCATTTAGCTCAAAGCACCACTGCATTGTTTGCATGGCTGTAGACTCTCAGCTTTGTTACGCCTCAAATCATAAGTAAATGTGTTTGTAATGAAGATACAAATATGCAAAAAACAAATAAACTTTAGCATTTTGAAGCCAGTGGATATTGGATTCAAAGACAGGCAGCTGTGTGCAGTTTTCCTTTTAAAGTTAAATGCAATTATTGGGTTTAGATTTTATGTCAAAAAAAGGCCAATGCTACAAAAGGAAAAAGGCTTTCTGTCTACAGAAGTCTGTTTCAGGGAGCAGTAGCTATAAAGTCGTTGTTCTGGGTTTAACTACTTGCTTAGTTTGGCTTTTTATGACTGTTTAATAAAGATGAATGAACATGTCATGCACATTAATGTTGATCAATGACGAAGATGATGTGATAGCACTAGTCCAGCAAAGAATCAGATTTGCCTGTGATACAGTCGGACAGACAGTAGCTAACGTGATTACATGAGAAAGTGTGGCACATGATCTGGCTGGGTCAAACTGCATCTGTAATTATGAAATTAAGTGGCATATGGATTTTATTCTGCTACCCAAATTGGAAAACCTCATTTTCTGTGTACGTCTGAGTATCAAGTCTCAATTCAACTCACACACACACACACACACACACAGATAATTGCCCATGCACAAAGAACCTCTGTATGAAATATTTGGGCCAAATATACCATATGGATTGAGGTGAAATCAGTATGTGGGTAGCAGAAAAAATTCCCAGTGTCTAAATTCATCATATCCTGCATGTCAAACATAAGCTTAGGCGCTATTTAAAAGTAGCAACAATCGGCCCTTTCTTTTAAAAATGTTGTGATTTTAGTAGTGTTACATAACATAGGAGAGGCTAGTGCAAATATACATTTGTACCACCAGAGCAAACTCTGGGAAATGTTACAGTAGTTCTGCAAATGGGCCATGTGGCATGCACAAACTGTACTACTGGTTAATAGCACAATTCAGCTTAGCGATGAATATAAAATCTGCCTAATAGGAATGCTGATTGGTAAGTTATACTCAGCTTCCTGGAGTCTTGGGGCTTATCTTGAAGCAGTTTACATGTATTCGTTACTGAATACTGTAAATAATGATAAATTATAAAAGTTAATTCAGCATTAAGCTTTAGGCCGGAAATATGCTTAATGCAAACGATGGTTTTCCCTTCAATCGGATACCACAGTCACATTAACTACAATATAGTAGATCGATAGTTACTTTATTAACTGTACTTTTGTGTACTGCACTGTACGTTATAAGGCTATTGAGTATATATAAACCAACAGTTTGTGGCTACGGCCACTGTGCTGTGTGCACTTTGTGTGTTTATGTATATATATATATATATAAATATATATATATATTTCTATTGTGATCTTTATTGTTAAACTAAGCAACGTTAGAAGTCTGCCGTGTTTCTCCCCTCTTCAGTGTTACATCCGCTTAACTCTTCAATTTAGATCCTGCGTGATTATCCAGCCCCTTTCAAAATAAAAGCGACCGTCACGTGACAGAGTAGTGACGGGGGCGGGCGCACGGGACCTCCGCCAATCACCGCCTCTGTTTTGCGGCTTCCCATTCGACGATAAACATTGCGACTTGAGGGGCTTCCAGATAGAGAGAGGCAGGGCACGTCAACGTGACTGAGGGCAGGCCGAGTAGCTCACACACAGTTGTTATCGCTGCAGGATTGGAGTTATACTCACTCAACGTCAGATATACGCACGGTGAAGAAGCACTACTCCGTTTTAAAACGAGAGGCAAACATGGCGCTCTGACATCGACTTTTAAATACCGGAAACCAGTTAGCCTTGGCTGTTGACGCTAGCTAGCTAACTTAGCTGTTACATACCCTGGTTTTTTTTCTTTTGACTGACCTCCACCACAACACAGGCGTACCGTGTATCGTTTGCATGCTAGGTTTGGGGGTCACCATTCTCCTGTGTCCTCCACGTGCGCTCCCGTTTGTCCCTCGTGTGGCTGCCCGCGTGGACGGTTCCCGAATATGATCCACAATGAGTCAAAGAGACACCTTGGTTCATCTGTTTGCTGGAGGGTGAGTGTGTTATTCTGCCTTTGAACGAGAGCTAGCTAGCTCCACGCTGCCGTTGCTAACAGGTAATAGCTCCACATGATCTTTGCGTAGGTGCATGTGTTCATGCTAGCGGGGTGTTTGTTTAGTGGCAGTGTGTTTGTTTACATGGAGATTCATGTTTGCACCAGTGTGTCAGATGTCAGCTAACTTAAAATGTGTCCCGTAGGACTCAATGTCACGAGTTTACAGTGACGTTTTTGACGTATGAATGGAAATTACATGCTTTTTGTGGAAGCGTGTTTTTCTGTTTGTGAGTCTGCATACTTAGGTGTAAAACTAAACATTAGTGTTTTATTTAAACAGCCGGCTTTACTTTCGGTGTCATCCGTGAGTCGGCCGTAAACGTTCGTGCATCACAACAAACGTGAGCACGCTGTGCACTAATGGTCGATCAGAATAATCGGATGCATTAATTGCAGTCTGATTTCATTGCACAGTTATTATATTCTGTGCACACAGCCTCAGAATATATGTGCAACAACATCTGTGTTTGTATAGCGCCCCCCCCCCCCATTGCAAAAAAATACAATTTTGTAGAATTATTCTTTCTTGCCTCCAGCAGACTATCCAGGTAATGAGTTGAGACACTTAACTTAGAGCCACTGCTGTTGTTAATTAATCTATTATGTGAGAGATAAACTAGATCTAGTGTATCTTTCTAGTGTTTATAGCCGAAACATGTGTGTATGCACACATTTTCTGCACATCAAGCTTAAAGTTGGCACCTAACTAAGTTCAAATGTGACTCCTGTTCTCTCTCTGGTTTGTACTGTAGCTGTCTCAAAAACAACTATGTTGACAGGACTTTGTATATCTGCTTTGAAAATTATCCCTGTCTAAAGATAACTGCTGTCGCTCTTGCTTTTGATATCTGACAGCCCTGTCAGACTCCAGTTCATTCATCTAGATCTCTTGTCTGTTCTCTCAACATGTGTGACCTGAGAAATACCTGAAATACCCGAGCTGGTCGTCAACCGATGCCCGGCTGTAACATTCTTTGTACAAGGCGTCAAGTTATGCTTCACATCTTGGCTCATAGGTTTATGATTTTGGTAGGCCCAAATCTAAAAACAAAGTGTTTGCAGTTATTATAGGATTCCTATTTGGTTCATTCTTATATGAAAATGCATCCGCCTGTGATTTTGGAATGTGGTGCGTCACTGAACAGAAGCTTGTTGTTATTTCTCCCAACAAACACAAAGCATTCCTGACTGGCTCTCTGTTCCCACACTGCTATTTCTCATCTACATGCCAGCGATCCTTAGAATTCCACCAAACGCATCATTGGCTAACTTATTTAAAGCGAGGACATCGTAACTTTAAGTCTCGTTCTGTCCGCTGAGACTTGTTTGTTATGTCACCCCCACCTTTTTCCATCTCTTGTCTTTCCATCAGATGTGGGGGCACGGTAGGAGCCATATTGACGTGTCCGCTGGAAGTAGTGAAGACCCGTCTGCAGTCATCCTCGATCACCCTCTATGTGTCTGAGGTCCAGCTCAGTACCGTCAACGGGGCCAGTGTGGCCCGCATGTCGCCGCCGGGGCCCCTGCACTGCCTCAAGTGGGTATTCAACAGCATTTATCACTGTCAAGACTGTCATGTTGATGCTACTGCTCTTATAGACTCCTTCACAGTACTATTGGTGCTCTAATCGGTTCTTCTTCTCACAAGACATAAACAAATTATTAAGTTCAGGATTAGAATGTATTTATATTTTAAATATAATAAACTAATGTTTCTAGAGGAGCAACATGAAATGCTCAGTTTTATATTGCACATTTAATCAAATAATAATCGCTCGTTTAAAATGCGTGCTCCGTTCACAGAAAACTCCGCTGCATATCTGCGGCTGCAGTCCAGTGAAGAAGAGTAGCAGCGTGGCCTACTGAATACTACTAAAGTCTTATGTAGCACAATGGGAAAGTACTACTCTGTTTATCCAAATGTGAAAGTGTAATAAACATATTTTTTTTTCTCCCTAAAAATCAAGTAAACACTGATGGCTTATGGGGATTATTTGAGTTTTAATTAAAATGAGTGGAGATGTTTGTGTATGGAGCTAACGGTTCCTCCTCGGTTTGCCTGCAGGGCCGTGGTTCTTTATTCAGCAGGCACCATGTTGCCATTGTTGTTGTTGTTGTTGTTGTTGTGTCTGGCTGGCGTCCCTCTGGCAAGGCCGACCTCTCCCTGAAACCCAACTCCTCACCCTTTGGGGGGAAACTACACACAGAATACACACCGGTCGCTCGATAGCCAAACATTTTCATCACAAGTCCAACTGTTGTTTATATATCTTGTGAGATTTTAATGCATTTTTTAGTTCCTCAAGACTCTTGTGCGTCTGCTTTGACAGCTCTCCTCTTTATACGTCCACTTGGTGAAGTACCTTTTTTATTTGAATACATTGCTGCAACCAAATGCTCGGAGGCCCACCGGCAATGTACGGTCTTCTCATTTAGTCGCGGCAGACATTATTCTTGTATTTTTCTCAAAGCAAAATGTAGTAGTGTTACAACTCTATTAAAGCAGCGTGTCACATCGGCGGATAGGGTCAGCGAGGCTGGGGGACAATTTCTAAATGTTTATTTGGCTCGACTCTGCAGCCTAACGCGGCGCACTGGTGTTAAGACACGACGCATACATTAGCTAAGAAGATGAGAGAAGACATCTGCTTCCCGCAAGATCTTCACCCAACAATTAATGAGAAAACGCACGACTGTTACGGCTGTAACAGGTTAAATTGGATGACCCACCCTCCCCCTTTTTTTCCTTGGAAATGTGTTCATGTTCTTTTGGTAATCTGTTGTTTTTGGAGTCGTACCTGCAGGGCTTTAAACAAGGACACAGCCGCTAGTTTTAAGTCGAATCTGAAGGTTTTTACTACATCATTTTGGATTAATATTACTATAGATATATATTTTAATTATTTACACATATCAAAGCCTTCGTCTGAACACTGTTCTTCCGGCCTGTGAAATCATATTCTGTAAATCAGAAGAGCAGACTCAGAAAACTTTAAAATGTAAATGTTTCCTTCATTCATACAAATTATGACAAATGGTCCTTTTATTGCTTTACAGGAAGGAGCTTGCTAATGTTAAAACATAATTATAATCATCATCGTTATGATGATTCTAGTTCTGGGAAATGGGCATGTAGCCAATCCTCACAGCAGGCAGGTGAGCACACCTGCCTGCTGTTGTGTGATTGATTTATTTTTCACCGCTCGGAGAAATAAACTGATGATGATGATGTATGGACTCACGGTGTTGCCTATAGAATATTAGTAACACAGGCAGCAACAGTCTTCTGGCACTTATTCGCTAACGTGTTGAACATCGTTTTATTTGTGCTTATTATCAGCATAAGTAAACAACCATTTCCAAACCGGCATTCTGAGCTGCACGGCGGGATGACTGGCAGGCTGGAGGCGATTCGCTCTCATCGTGCCGTGTGTCGGCTCTGCCGGATGTTCCTCACGTTGTTTTTACGTTCATTCGGCTTAAAATGTAAAACCCTGTAATGTACACACACATTCATTCAAATAGAGCATGTGGGGGCTGGACTGATCCAGACACACGAGTACGTTTCTCTCTCATCATGCTCTCACTGTTTTGACGCGGACGCTGGGGGTCGTAAAACGTTCACGCTTAGCGAATCACAACTTGTTAATCAAAACCATTTTTACAAAATTCATAAAATAAAGTATCCGGTTGGATTAAAGTGACTAGTCGGCTGTTTGGCCGGCAGCCTAAATGAGTTTCTCTGTCTACTTTTAATCTGCTCACAAACCTCTTCGAATGTATTTCACCTAACATATGAATCTAAGATGCTGTGTGTCCTACAGCCATCGGTGCTCAACACACCACAATGCAGTAGTGCTCTGCATTGTGGTGTGTTGAGCACCGATGGCTGTAAGCGGTAAACAGCCGACAGTTCTTCTATTCTTAGCTCCCCGCTGGTTTCAGGGCTTTGAATGTAGGCCGAAGGTCCCCCCGAAAGTGGAAGGACAGGAAAGGCCAAAGTTTATTTATAATCTCGGGGATTATCCTGTTGAATGAATGCGTTTGGTAGATGTCACGTTGACTTTGTGTCGGTGCTAGATGACATCAAGCCCCCCCCCCTTTTTATAAACAAACACAGTTTCTGTTTACAGTCAGATTTACGCGCCAAGTCGCCTTGTATGACTTCTAGAAGTCTAACAAAAGTGTTGAATCCATTTAATTCCTCATAATGCATCTGTAAATACTGCTTTTCCTAAAAAAAAAAAAAGTTTGAAACCTGCATTGCTACCCTCCTTGTTTACTTTCTTCTTCACTGCCTCTGTTGTCGCGTTGTTGTTTCTCGACATGTTGCCACCAGCTGTTGAGCGGTAGAATACTGTGAAACCATTGGCTCGAATGTGTATCACGTCACCCGTGCTTAAGGATGCCGCCCTCCCCCGAAACCCGGTCCTAAACCGAAACCAGTTCTTAGTTAGTAAAACCCGGAGTATTGATAAGAGGTCCGGAGGACTGGCATCACCATCCCTGTTGGCCAGAGAAAGCCATGAGTTACCTGATGTCTTTAAAATGGTGGAAAAAGAGAAGTAATGACACTAAACCATGCATGTTGTCTCAGTGGTAGAGTCGTAACGTACTTTGTTTCTGTGTGTTCTTTGTATTCAGGTTGATATTGGAGAAAGAAGGACCTCGTTCTCTCTTCAGGGGCTTGGGGCCAAACTTGGTGGGTGTGGCACCTTCCAGGTAAGCTTCCTCCTGTCGCCTCTAATCGTCTTCTTCATCTTCTTATCGCGGACCTCTTTTGAGTTTGACTTGGAAGACTATTGAGCTGTGTTTGCTGTCTTAGAGAAAGGTTTCCTATTTAGTTGCAAGTAACGGTATTAACTAATTGAATATTTGATGGAATTGTAAATCTGCAAATGATTCTTAACTTAAATGAGCCTGTTCAGTGCTCCAGTCAGAGCTGTGCATTGAGAGGTGTGCTAACGTTGTGCTAACATGCATGTTGACGTGGTAATAATGCACGTAGGGTATGCATTAACAGCACCCTTCAAATGACCACAGATCAGCTAAAACAAATCCACTGATGGGGGCGTTATGAATGTTAAAATGTATGTTTGTTTACATAGATTAGGCTCTGGCGGTATGCTGAAATAATAAGCCTGACTTTAAGTTAAGAGAGCCTGAGCTGGAGTTGTCGCTAACTTTCACGTCAATCAGCGGGTGGCAAGCAAAGAGGGTTCTGGTCTTGAGGTGTTGTTGCTCATGGTCACCGTCACTCACTCACTCATTAGTCAGACAGCGAGTACGTGATAAACCGACTCCTCAGTGGGCTGAACGGAGATGATGTGCTGGTGGTAATGGAGGGAAACCAAACTCGAAATCCCCTGGTCGACCATAATACTGCCCAAGCCTGATAGAGATGTATCTCTAAACAAAGTCGTCTTATCTAATCACTTCTGTGCTTTGGCATCAACTGTTCTTGTTCTCTGGTGGCGGATTCAGTCACTTTGGTTCAGTACTGTTTCTAGGTGAGTCGTGGACACATTGGACACTCGGGAACAATGGCATCATGTAACCACCACATGGCTCTTTGAGGTCACTTGGTGACAAAAAGGAACATATGGTCCTTCAGTTCTCGTTCTTCTTCACGGCTTTCTCAGCAGCGTTTTGAAGACAGGAAATGCTGTAGTTGACTGCAGTTAGTTAATGGCGTATAAGTCCTGATCATTAACCAGCCTCTGTGGTAATGATGGGAGCAATGCGGGCTAATGGCCGTGGGCAGCGAGCTCACGCTGCAGCGAGCAGGTGTCGGTGCTCGGCACATGTGGAGTGGTTTGTTGGTACGTGACTGAATGCTGATGAAGACCCCCTGAGCTGTGACGCACACTTGTACACACAAACACACTGTCTTCTACTGTGACTGATGGGCTCTTAACCTCATTAACAAGTGTTGACTCGGCACATTTCACAAATGAACCAGACTGTTAAATAATAGCAGTTGTGTTCAGACATGAACGTCATCGTTCTGACCCTTTTTGAATTAGTGAGAATAAACACAGACATGCTGTTTGCACTCAACGGCCTCTTTGTTCAACTCTGCTGCTCCGCTCTCGGCTTTCCACTTAATGCATTATTTTAAAGCTCATTAAGCTTTAAGAGCTTTAACTGTCATTAAGACAGTTTTATGTGTTGTAATTAATAAACTACATCACAACTGGAGGCAAAGAGTTGTCCCGGGACTCGTGTTCTTTACTTTAAAACACCAAAACACGCCGCGTGTGACTTGTACTGCTGTCACAGATGCTCACCTTTTATCTGTTCTTGTCCCTTTGCTTCCAACAGAGCGATCTACTTTGCTGCCTACTCCACTGCCAAAGAGAAACTGAACGGTGTGTTGGAGCCCGACTCCACACAGGTGCACATGGTGTCGGCAGGAATGGCAGGTAACTAAACACGCGGGGTAACAGGTCGACGGTTCACCGCCGTGGAAACCCACCGTAACGGCGTGATCGCTTCATGCACAGACTGTAGGGAGGCCGCTTTTGCTAAGCTGTGGTAGAACTGGTTTGTACTGGTTGTCTTTGACAATATAGGAACACCACCCACTTCATGCAGACCCTTTGTATTCATTAACCGCTTCACCTTTTTGTTCAGATCGACCGCCAACCAGTGTTGTGGTGAGCTGAGTTTTCTTCTGAAAGTCGTTGTGAATGAGCGCTCAAGTTGAAAACTACCGTAAAGCTAAACATGTAAAAATTAAACCTTTCTGAAAAACTGAAACTTGCAAACAAGCTCTGAAAACCCACTAAATGTGCCGACGCAGCAGTGTTGAAACGACTTGATTAAATAAGCGTAACTTGTTAAAAAGCCAGATTTAAAGACGGTTTCTTTAATCACTGACGCTTTTTTATGTCAAAGGAAGGTTATCGTGTCACTGTGACCCGGCCTTGAATGACAGCTACAGCTACAGCGTGCATCTCTGTGTGTTTATCTGTCTATTTATACATACAGCGGGTAAAATAAGTGTTGAACACGTCACCATTTCTCTCAGTAAATATAGTTCTAACGGTGCTATTGACATGAACTTTTCACCAGATGTTGGTAACAACCCAAGTAATCCATACATACAAAGACAACCAAGCAAATAAGTTCAGAAATTAAGTTCTGTGTAATAAAATGGAATGACACAGGGAGAAAGTATTGAACACGCTTACTGAAATGTATTCAATACTTCGTACTAAAGCCTTTGCTGGTAATGACGCCTCCTGTGTGGAGAAACGAGGCGCATGCATTGCTCAGGTGTGGTTTTGACCCATTCTTCCACACAGACAGTCTTCAATTCTTGAAGGTTCCGTGGGCCTCTTCTATGAACTCTGATCTTTAGTTCTTTCCATAGATTTTCTATTGGATTCAAGTCAGCTGATCGTCTGGGCCGTGTGTGTGTGTGTGTGCGTGCGTGTGCGTGTGTGTGTTTCAATAACCCAGTCAAGGTCAGCTCTGTCAGTCACCCTCCAGCGATGCTCCGCAGACCTGACGGGTGCCAAGGAGTCGACAGTGTCGGGAGTATTTTAGTCTCTACAGTGATACGTGATCCAGCTGAACTTTGTGCTGGTTCCTGCTGTGCCCAGGACTACACTGACCCATGTTACGTAATTAGGATACGGGGGGGGGGGCTCCTCCTTTCATCGGGGGGAAATGTTGCCATTATTTTGTGTGTAAAGCCGGAAAGAGGACACAGTGTCGCAGTACGGTGCAAGTTAAGGCAGCGCAGGACGGTTTGCACACTTTCCAGTTCATCAAGATTTTTGTTTTTACTAACTACATTTTTATGCTGACACAGCGCGTTGTGGTTTTGGCTTCTCGGGAACGCCTGGAGAGAATGTCTTTCAATTTTATGACAGACGTCAACCTGGACTCCAGGTGGAACTGATCAGATTTTTGTATTCTTTGTCTTAATAGCATAAAATGATAAAGTGATGACATGTTGGACAGATGCGGGACCCTCCAAAGGGTCACATGGAGGATCTGAGGAGTAGTGAGATGATTAATGGGCGGAAAGAAGAAGTTCTGAAATCGTTTTTTGGACTTTTCTCTCATCTTTGTAATAAATCAATTGAACAGTTCAGTGAAAGTGAGAAGTTCAGAGGGAATGTCTGGGAACCGCTGGTTTAATCTTTAACATGCGCTGTTAACCAGTAACTATAGCTGTCAAATAAATACATAAAACACCCAAAGAACAATAGTTGAACTCTGATATGCCCATAAGTATAAAGAGGTATAACTATAAATGTCTAAAACAAGTCCATAAAACTTGGTGTCAAGTTTTGCCAGGTCCCCCCCCCCCCCCCCCTACCCCGAGGTTGGAATACGCTGTGTCAGATGATGGGGGAGGAATGGGGGAGTAAAATGGTTGCACGTACACAAGCCTGTGTCTGTTTTAGGCTTTGACTCTAGCGTAGCTCGGTTAGTTGTCGGACAGTTTATGTTTGTTTCTTTCCCCCTCCACAGGTTTTACAGCCATCACAGCAACCAATCCAATATGGCTCATAAAGACCCGCCTCCAGCTGGATGCGAGGTAAATATAACACCCGGGTGAGGGCTTGACCAAGTTCACTTCACAAGAGACATGTTGTAGCTTTAAAGGGGCGTTCCTGGGTCCATATCCAGTGGAGTGCCTGTTCAAAACACGCCTGCTGGGTCAGACCCAATGCTCGGCCTCTGGTATTGTTGCTTGCAGCTTTCTCATATTAATCATCGTTGACTCCAGGAAAGTCAGCCGTGACCATAATGTACTAAATGAACATCATGCTGTACTGAAGAAGACTTGAAACTAGAGATTGAGACCATAAACTCATGTTTACAATGTTTACTGAGGTAATAAATCAAGAGAGAAGTAGAGTCATTTTCTCATAGACTTCTATACAACCAGAGGAGTCGCCCCCTGGTGGACACTAGAGAGAATGCAGCTTTAACACATGAAGCATCGGCTTCACTCAGCAGAACCGGAGGTTGCCACCTGGTTTTTTACACTACAGTGTTCATTTTCCTAACAGAGATGTTATTCTCTTGTTTCCTGCCCAGGGACTACAGATGTAAATGAGTTTACTAATTAACTAACTCTGGTGCAGATCAGAAGCTGTCAAACACATAAACACATGCACAGAGATGGCTGTACACAGTAGGCCTCAAAGGACGACATCACCACAACACTGACTCTGATGTGTTGTTTCAGTCAACGTGAACATCTTCAAATGGGCAAAGTTGGTTCTTTTACTTGACTTTAAAAGCCATTTTTCTTTCCTCAGGAACCGAGGTGAGCGGCGGATGAGCGCGTTCGAGTGCGTGCGGCGGGTCTACAAGACGGACGGCTTGCGAGGCTTCTACCGGGGAATGTCGGCGTCCTACGCCGGCATCTCAGAGACTGTGATCCACTTTGTGATCTATGAGAACATCAAGCGGCGCCTCCTGGAGGCCAAGGCGCCGCAGAACATGGACGAGGAGGAGGAGACGTCCAAAGACGCTTCGGACTTTATCGGGATGATGCTTGCCGCGGCCACCTCCAAGACCTGTGCCACATCTATCGCTTATCCTCACGGTAAGAGTTTGTGCTGGGCGGAGTGGTTCTGGTACCAAAACCAGGATCAGGAATGCCTCTAATACAGCCTTAAGATATCGCTACCTGATCTGCACATCCTGACCGATCGGTACTGCACATGTGCAACTCTCAACTCTGATGTGACCCTGTATCACCTGTAGTCGTATACAACTGTAAAAATAATAATATTTTATGTAGTGAGTACTCGGTATCGGTTAATAGATGGTACCAGAACGTCTAACATGCTCTGCATTTAGCTAATATGGGCTAACTGATGTGCTGCTACCCTTTTTAACCCTTCCCTCTCCTCGCTACTCTGCAGAAGTAATCCGCACCCGGCTACGCGAGGAGGGCACCAAGTACAACTCCTTCTTCCAGACTCTGACCACGGTGCCCCGGGAGGAGGGCTACCGCGCGCTGTACCGCGGCCTCACCACCCACCTGGTGCGACAGATCCCCAACACCGCCATCATGATGTGCACCTACGAGCTGGTGGTCTACCTCCTGAACGGTTAAACGCCTTCCCTTTCCCCCCCCCCCCCCCTCCCCCCCGTTCGTATCCCCCGCCCCCTCCCCCCCCCCCCCCCCCTGTTCAGAGACTGAGAGACAGAAGAAGAGAACAAGAGTCGCCAGCGCAACAGCCAGCTCGCCATGTAGAGGACGGGGACGCCGTGACCGTTTTGTTCCAGTGATGCGCTGGTTAAAAATAAGTTTGACGTTTTTTTTCTGTAACCAAAAGGGTCTGGCACATGGGAGGGGGGGGGAGGATCGCGATGTTCCTCACATTGGTTCTGGGGACCGGGGTTTAACAGTGGCAAAGAAATGTGTGGCCCTATTTATAGTTTTATTCCATGCTTTGTTTTCTCCCTTCGGTTATACGCGATGCTTCTGGAAGCTCAGAGTGCTGGAGGAAGAGTATATTATATCTATTCTGTCTCTAACAATACTAATAATGAAAGAAGTACAGTGATTCCAATCCTTACTACCTAGTGGATATAAGAAGCCCCCCATCATGACTTTTCATCTGTTATTAGTATCATGCAGTATTCCCTGCATCCATCAGAGTACAAAGATGCAAGTATCTGACTGCCTGAGGCTTGTTGAGGTAGAAAGAAACAGAAGGGTGGAGAACGACGTGCCTTGTGTGGAAACGTGACGCACAGCGGGGCCGCAGGAGGAGGCGGAGCTCCGGTCCTGGAGGCGGAGATTCCTACACCGGTATTGTGTTAAACTTAGAGAACCTTTTCCACATCTGACCCATGTCGGGAATTAAAAACAAATGGGATTAACAAATTGTAACTGCTAGAGGTATAAAATAAGGCGTTCGTCTGCCCAGAAAATTCAAACATTTAGTTCTTCAGAGGAGAGATTTACCGGTTAGAACGGCGGTGTTCTCACAGCGCCTTCAAATGTCTTTCTCATCTCATGTTTGTTTTTATTTGTTCCTCAGTTGGAGAATCCGGGCTAGTTTTTACAGGCGAGGACAATCCTCTGGGTTTACTCTGGAAACAGTGGAGCCAGTGTGGAGGAAGTGGTCAGGAATATGCTCTTCATAAGTGCACATTAATTCAATGCAGACACTCGTTAACAAACGGAGACTGTTTTATTGGTTTCCTCCGCTTGTTCAGTTGTTTTTGAAAACGGGTGAACTGCATTATAGTTTTGAAAAAAGAAACCTCTAGTTTGTCAGTGTTATGATCTGTTAGAAAGATACTCGCTCTCTGCTTTTGTTTTAGGTTTTTTTTTTGCATTTTTATTTCACGTCATGTTTCAAACGGTACAACACCGTCTCCTCATTTAACTTCAACAACCACCGAAGTAACTTTTCCCTCCGTCTTCGCATGACGCAGCAGAACCCAGCCTGCTGATGACCCTCATCTTTCACCACAATGCTAACAGTTGAACTCACCGTTGATAACCTGTCCAAACACGGAAGGTGAGACATATGCAGCTCTTTTCTTTTTGACGTGATCCTCAGTTTCGCAGCACGCGTGAAGGAAGCATCAGACCGGCCTCATTGTGCAGAAACATCTGATCAGAGATGGAGGGAAGGAAGAGGCTCACACTCTGTACCTCCAACACACTGATGATGTAGTGAGACCGCATCTTTGGGTTTGGCTACATGGTTAAAGGGTCAGTTCACTCAAATTCCCAAAATGCATTGAGGTGAAATGACCCTGTAACTGTAAAGGTGCAATGCATCCCTCTCACTCGTATCATTGTTCCCTGCATCCGACGGTTATTCTTTTGCACCCACATGTTTGTGTATGTGTGTGTGTGCACGTTTTGGCAGTGAAATGACAATCGTGTGTCATTCGTGTGTGTGTGTGTGTGTGATAGAGTATGAATGCACTCAGAAGAATGGCTGACAGTGTTTTTATCTTTTTAAATAAATGGTTTTTCCTTCCACGGTGGATCAGTGAGCTCATTGTGGGTGGGGCTCGGCCTATGCATTCTCTCATACCTGTTTTTGTAAAAACGAAAATAAAATAAAGTGGATTCGGTGTATATTTAAGTGTCGGGAACTTGGAATTCTGTTACTTAGTGCTTGTTTTACACAAACACATTCTGAGCACTTGTCTCTTTCACACAGACTTCCACAGGGTGCCCACGGGATCTTCAAAAATAATTAAAAGTAGATAAATCAGTTTAATTTCAAACTAACGCTGGGGTAGGCAGTTTAATTTTGCCGTCATTAGGCAATAATTCAATAATCTTTCAGCATATTGTACATTTAGCTGTGCCTCAGGGTAGGCAGCTTTCTGGAAAAGGCAAAAAAATTAAATACACCAAAACATAACAATAGAGCCCTCATCCTGCAGCTCTCCCATCTACCCTTTCTGCCCTAAGCCCCTCCCACCAGACGAGCACAGGCATATGCACACGATACGTAGACCGCAATTATCCACGGTTATTATATTAATTTAAATTTTAAAGAGTTCTGGTGGAACAATGGTGCTGTGAACGAGGGTCCGAGGACAAAGGGAGTCGTACAGATAAAGCCCTCGGAGGCAAATTTGTAATTATTGATATTTGACTAAACAAATAAACTCAGACTGAAGTGATTAAAGCACAAACCAACAAAAGAACATATCAGGAGAGCAACATACACATGTAGTCAAATTAAACTGTCCCAGCATGAACACGTATATCCTTAACAAAGATGCACACAAAACACATCAAACATGATTAAATAAAATAAGTACAAACATTTGCCTTAATCACTTTGTAAGTCTCAATGAGAAATAAAGAAACATGTTAGTCCATCATGCTGACGCAGTGACTGCCTTGTCTTCATCAATGATGAAGATGTGTGACATGTTTGATGAAGCTGATCACTCTCGACACATGAGCCGACGCGCTATGAGTGAGGGACGACCCGAACTAAGCGTCGTGCTGCGCTGTCATGCTTCCACAACAGTGACCGTGTGTGTGTGCTGATCAATGCATTCTACCTCCAGCAGCTGGATTAAAGTAGATCCTTCCAACCAGCAGGTGGGAGTGTTGACCCGAGTACGACTTCCTCTCTGGCGCGCCATCAGCTCAGTGGAGCAGACGCTGACGGATGACAGCCTGCTGCTGCCTCCGCCCTCAAGCCAAAAGATGGGAGAGCTCAAATAAAGTAAGAATAGACCCACCACCAAGTGTCTTACTGTATTCTGCAGCTCACACACATGAAATGATGCAGACGGCTATACATGTACATGTCGCCAACTAGAGCAGAACATAAACAAATTGCAAGAGATGCCAGATGAATGATGGTATACAACACACACACACACACACACATACCTAATTCACAGCTCAGTTCCTGGCCTGAACAGCATCACACCATCCCATGAGCTGCAGCAGGACCGGCCTGAGTCACACACCACACACACATTTATTCTGTCAGACTGAAAAGGAAGGGAGGGTCGTGTTCCCAAAATCCACGCTCCTGCAGTTCTGCCAGCAACGCCAGTGTCCTTGGAATAATACAAAGTGCTGCGGGCTGTTTGGTTGAGCCTCACTTTTCTTTTTTTTATTGACATTGTGAGACGACAGCAAAAGAGCCGGTGGAGCCGGTGGTGACTGGCACCTTGTTTACCTCTGAACTGGAGTGGAAGAGAGAGGAGGCCGGCCAAAGAGACAGAAAAAAGGCTGTTTTTTGTTTCATTTCCTTTGGACAGGCTTTTGGCTCGCTGTCATGGTGTTTTCTGTTTCTGTTAATCCTGAAAAAAAGAAGGAATCTGGGCACTAATCTGTATTTGGGTTATGTGTAAAGATGAAAGTCTTTTTTTTCTGGTTTTATTATATACTTCAAGCTTTTCTTCCTCTTGCTGCTGGCCTCTTCTCTGAAGCCCGTTGCTTTGGCTCTCACTTTCCAATTTCCACTTCCACTGGAGTGATTCTTCATTTCTGAGGTATTTCAGAGGAAGCTGTTCTTAAAGGGGAACTACGTCTATTCATTATTGCATTCATTGGGACACGCAAGAGACGGTTTAAAAGAGCGGTCAAAAGTGAGGCAGCTCCAAAAAACACTTCATTTCCCATAATGCAGTTTATTAGCATCTTCCGTTGTCATTCAAAGTTTACGCCCAAGTTCTTAACACAGGCTTTCTGTTTGAATTTGAGGTCTAAAGACAAATTCTTATGTTTTTATACTTGAAAAGGTGCAGTGAAATAGATATACTGTATATACACGTTTTCCAAGTTTTAATCGCCATCTTCAACTCTGGGGCATATACATTACGATCAAGTAAAACATTTGAGCTAACACGTTAGCTTGTGGCCACTGCAGCAGGTGACAACTAAAGTATATTTCTATATCTAGAAGTCTGCTAACATTAGCTACCATAAGCTAGTGGTCACACCAGACCAGACAGGAGGACAACATTAGGGTGTGATCTTATTGCTGAAGTAAAGAGTGCCTGTAAGCCTTTAAGTTCGTTAGAAATATTGTATTCTTTTACAAGAGTAACTTTCGGTTATCTTTCACACCTTTGGAGACCATGTGCGTCCACATTGACCTTCAGACGTGAAGCGCGTGGCTGTGAGTGATGTATCCGAGGGTGAGGTAGACGGTGGCTTGGATCCCCGAGCAGCTGTGAGCTCCGGAGTCAGACGAACGATCCCCGCTCCTCCTGCTTGAGATATCTGCGGCGGCCCACACTGTCAGAAACAGAGCAACGACAGCTTACAGCAGACATGCTCGAGGCATCGTGAACACCACGGTGGGAGCGTGGATTAAGAAGAAGATGCATTTGATCTGCCTCATAGCTCTTGTTCTGTTTCTTCTCCAAGCACGTATTTAAAATGGTTGTTCTGTGATCAGAGGGACACCGGAAAGTCATCCATACGTATAGCTTTTATGTCTTAGTTGTTGTAATTTATCTTTCTCTTTGGTGATCTAAGACCTAAAGCTGAATCTTCTTTTTTTTTGTTGTCCTTCACTCTTTAATTTGTGCTACTATAATCACCTGTGTGCGGTAAGAAGACAGCAGCAGAGCATAGCGGCTCCGTGAGGTTGTACTTATGCTGCACTCCTGTCATAATTGTGAGCAGTCGAGTGGGGAAAAAACATTCACGTCAGCGTACGAGTTGTAATTGTAATTCCAAATTGGAGATATCAGGGATTTGGCACAAATAACTAGAGTGTCAAGTGTCGAAAGACCACTGGCAACATGGCTGCTGCACCTCTATTGCTGGGAGTTTCATCAAATTTAACAATAACATTATAATGGATTCAGGTCATTTAAAAGGAGATGTACACCTTGTTTTTGTCAGCCCCCCTTTGTTAAGGAACCGTCACAAATATGTAAAACTACTATAAATGCTGCAAGCTTTAGCTTTCAGGGCAACCATGAACTTCAACAATCTGTCTGATAGTTGTTGAGACATTTGACCTAAAACCAAAAATGTCAACCTCATGGTGGCTCTTGAGAAAAATGTGTCAAGTCATCTTTTGTCTGGGAACCACGAATGTTTGTCCAAACGTTTGTGCCAATCCGTGTGGCTGATGGTCTGTCACTGTGAAATATCTGACCTGCTGATGGCGCCAGAGGAAAAGTCAGGGGGATTCATCAACCCAGTCACCAGAAAACACGTCGTCATTGTATATTTCTGTAAACCCCGCTAGAACAACGTTACGAAGAACAACGTTACGAAAAACAACGTTACGAAGAACAACGTTACGAAGAACAACGTTACGAAGAACAAGGTAACGAAGAACGTTACGGAAAAAGTCACGTAAAACAACGTCATGAAAAACGTCACGCAAAACAATGTTGCGAAAGCAACATTGCGACAGCAACGTTACGAAAAACAACATTACATAAAACAACGTCACGAAAAACAACGTTACGATAAACAATGTTACATAAAGCAACGTTGCGAAAAACGTCACGGAAAACAATGTCACGAAAAACAACGTCACGAAAAACAACGTCACGATAAACAACGTTACGATAAACAATGTTACATAAAGCAACGTTGCGAAAAACGTCACGGAAAACAATGTCACGAAAAACAACGTCACGATAAACAACGTTACGATAAACAACGTTACATAAAACAACGTCACGAAAAACAACATCACGATAAACAACGTCACGATAAACAACGTTACGAAAAACGTCACGGAAAACAATGTCACGAAAAAGGGCAAAGTCATTGTTTACTTTTGGTTTCACACGGGATACGAACAGAGGTCGCCTTGGTGAAAGTCTTGTGTGTTGTTGAGATACTACACCAAAATGGTGGGTTAGTTGACCAACATACATTGCCGTGCCATTAGCGTGGCTAAAATAATACCAATCCATCCATCCAATATCTGTTAGCGCTTATCCTCTTACGGGGTTGCAGAGGATCACAGCTGACATTGGACGAGAGGCGGGCTTCATTCTGACCAATCACACTCACACCTATGGGCGGTTCAGAATGAACAGTTAACCTAACCTGCATGTCTTTGGACTGTGGAAGGGAAGCCGGAGAACCCGGAGAAAATCCACGCTGGGAAGAGCATGCAAACTCCACACAGATGGGGGCCAAAGGTGTAAATATAAGAAGAGAAATTATATATTCTATAAACACAGTACAATATTGATCACGACCAGATAGAGAAAGTATGAAAATGTGTCAGTCTAGTGACTTTGGGCTGAACATGTTAAATGCATCCACAAAACACATGATCACACTTAACTTTGGCTTTGTTCAAACCCCCACTGTGGTCAGCTGTGAGAAGCTCACTGGCTCGGGTAAACTCAGGGACATATCTCTGCGGCACACACACAAACACACACACACACACACACACAGAAATCACCTACATATGGGAGGCAAAGTGAACGGAAGTTCAGCCAAGTTGAGACAAGGTACTCCTCTTTCATTGCCTAACAAGCAGTAATCCTCATCTTGATTCAGTGACATTGTTCAACTGTCAGTCGGCTATCCAATTATGACCGGTGTTACACCCCAACCGGTCCGGGGAGAGAGAGAGAGAGACAGACCCACGGGACGAAGAAGACACAACGAGTAAGGACAGGACGGAGACACATTCAGGGAATTGGGAGGGAGACAGAGACAAAAGGGGAAAAAGGGATGGTATAGATGCAGCGGGCAGCGAGGGAGAAGACATAATGAAGAGGCTGAGAATGAAAACATCTGATGCAAAGTGTCTGTCGGAGGGACTTGGGGAGGATTCATTGTGCGTCGGTGAGAACAGCTCTCTCTGAAGTCACTGAAAAGCAGGCAGACACACATCCTAACTCTTACACAACACTCAATACACTGCACACACACACACACGCAGACACAGCATGGGAGCTCTGAGTCATGTTCAGTTGGAGCTGTCTCTGTTTCACCGAGATCAACTTTTCTAACTTTATGAGTAACAGACATTTTGCCGTCTGTAGTGACAGCAAGTCGATGACATTTAAAAGGGATACTGTGAACAACTAAAGACTGGTAGCTTAGCTTAGCATAAAGAGTGGAAACAGAGGGAAAGAGCTAGCCTGGCCCTGTCCATGGAGGTAACAATCTGCCTCTACCGGCGCCTATGAAGCTCATTGATCAACTCATTTAACTCCCTGCAAGAACATGACTAGGTGCATTTGACTCCCTTATCCCCTTCCCTTTATGACTCACTGCAAAGGAGTGAACCACCTTGTGTTTGTGGTGAGCGGCATTAGATGCGTGTTTACCCATTAGCTTGGATTTAATCCGTAAATCCAGCTGCTCCCACTCAGAGACTCTTCAATATTGAACATGAATAGAATTCAAACGTTAAGATAAAAGTATGCACATTAATCAGGGACATGTGGAACAAAAATGTAAGATATCCACAAGATATGCTTTTTTATTCATGCATATATTTTTTCATATACTTTTAATTTACATGAAAAATAGAATCAGTGTGTGATGGAAAGACTTGTTTTCCGAATATTAACTTGCTATATTATGGAAGAGCATTTCTGCAACTGTTGTGAAAAGAAATAAAGATCCTGTAAGTCATTATAATAATGACTTACAGCAAGAACATGAACTACAAACGGCAGCAGACAGGTCGTGATTACGGTCAGAATAAAACTATGCAAGGCATGAAGTGGCCTCCACCCTGCGTCAAGTTTCTGTAAAGCTAGCATCTTACAGAAAGTTAAGGGATTTTCTTACAAAATAAAAGCATGGAATTTGCCACGTTTAGAGGTAAAATAGCTTTCAGCAACATGAAGACACAAAAAGTCGGGATGCAGCGTCACAAGTATTATATAATGAAAACACTCAATGTGAAAATGGTGTTTTGTTACGAAAGTGTTTTTTTACGGACGTCGTGGTCGGAAACCGTGTTTGTTATTCCGGCTAACTTGACACCAGTCACCTTTTCTTGATCCCGACCCTCCAGCCAATCAGCGGCTGTCAGAGACGCACGAGCGGTGATAACATCCACGGAACAGGCTGCGGGCAGGAGGAACAAAGAAAAAAAGCCGCCCGTGTGCGTGTAGCAAAAACGTCCTTTCACTCCGGCAACGCGGACACATTTCCAGGTTTTGTGCATTACTTGAAGCACTCACCATTAACCGGGTGGTTGGCACTCGTCGTCGTACGCACTGGTTGTTGTTTTTTCCCCCGGTGAGGATAGAGGAAACTTCGTCGTCGTGAGAGGGTTTTTTTGTCCGGTCGCCTTTCTCGAAACCTTTTTCCTTTTGGACACGCTGGGTTGGGAAGAGGTGCCGTGCGGTAAGTTTAATGTTTTCTCTTCCGTTAAACGCCCTTAAAAAAGAATCGTGACTGTGTTGTCGCTTACCAGCAGAAAACTCCTGTTTCGAACTTTCCTCTTTTTGACTCTTAAATATTGTGTTAATTTAGCGCTTCATTCATCTTTGACAGATATAAAACACTGAATGTTGACCTATAAGCGAAGGTGATTTGGTAACCACACATAAAAGAAAAATGTTCAAACTAGTCGCTTATTTCATTTATTTGAAACAATGTAACTTGTTGAGTTGTTCTGTCATGCTCTGAGCTGAACAGGTAGGACTCGTGGTGCAGCAACGTGCATGAGTCAAATTTAAAAAAAAAAAAGGCATTTTTATTCTCAAACTAATTGCTTTTTTTGGAAGTCATTCACGCGCCGAAAACCTCGAGAAGACTCATTAGAGACTCATTCATCCTCCCAGGTGGTTGTGTTTTGAATGATTCAATGGCAAAACTAGACTGACAGAGTTTTGGATTAAGATGTTTGGCTCGCACGAGGCAATATATCTGCTGTTGTAGACCAGAGATGGCTGCCTTTTTAAAGGTAGGCTTATGTTTTGGATAAATCAAGTTAATAAATGGCAGTTTTCCCTTGAATTAATTCCCCCTTTTATGTCCTGGGGAAATATATTTTCTGGAATTTTCAACCAAGCAGGGGCTGGCAGCTTCTTTTTTTATTTCTCCCCCTGAGCTAAATGATCTCTGACTAAGCACAAAGGCTTACATTATTCCAGGTGAGCAAACGAGGCGCTCTGCTGCCCCTGGAAACGGTAGAAAGTGAACTATTTGACCATTTTCTTTGCAGCGTTGCCGGCTGATTCAAAGGGCTAAATGCGTTGCCTGTAAACCGCACCATCTGCATTGCCCTGCTGGGCATCGGCGGGCTGCTGTCCAGAGAGCGTCATGAGAGATCTGTGTGGGTGGACCACAGCAGATGGGTGAGATGGAGGACATCAGCTGGCTGATGTGGTGGCCACTGTTTGGGTGTTTTTTTTTTTGTCTGGTGTTCAGTTGCGGGGTTTTTTTCCGCAGACAACTCCATCACACTCGGCTCTGCAAAATGGTTTATATGTCAATTAGCGTGCTCATACTGTTGAAGGGTTAAATGCTCCCGTCCTGGAGGATCTATTGACCCCTGCACTCTATCCCCCACCAGCTGGGGTTTGACCCTGTGACCACTGACACCGGTTGACCTCGAGAGTGGGTGGCATGAACGTGCCTGGGTTCAGAGGTCAACAGTGGAGAGCTCTGCTGTTTAGGTCCAGAGTCCACCAGGAAGCCAAATACAAGGGGCGATGGTCACTTCCATGCAGAGGGTTGGACCAATGCTTTGATTTACACCTGGATCTGGTTGTATTTTTATTCAAATATTTGCTTTGAATAAAACATTTTTTATTGCATTCAAAACAGGCGGCAACATCCGCTTCTGGCGTGTGAAGCCGATCCGGAAGAATCTTACAACCTGCATTCTCTCTAGTGTCTAGACTCCTCTGGTTGTATAGAAGTCTATGAGAAAATGACTCTACTTCTCTCTTGATTTATTACCTCAGTAAACATTGTAAACATGAGTTTATGGTCTCAATCTCTAGTTTCAAGTCTTCTTCAATACAGCATGATCATTTAGTACATTATGGTCCATTTAGAGTCACACAGCCCATAAAGCAGGGGACGCTTTAGGGCGGGGCTACCTTCCACTTCCTTTCATTGGTTGCAAAAAGCCAAGATGGCGACGGCCAAATCGCCAAACTCAAGGCTTCAAAACACAAACTAATATGTGACATCACGATGACTAATCCTCTAATGACAGCCTGTGATTCAAAAAAAGTGTTTACAGAAAGGGCAGTGTCCAGAAACACGACTACAACAGAATGGCCTTTAACTCTTATTTCCGAACAGAATGCGCATGAGTTTCTGCTGCATCATGTCTGGAGATGGTTTTCCTCCAGATATAAATATTCTATGCTGCCTCTGTCAGAGGAGCCACATACTAAGTTATCCACTGGGATTCCACTACAGTCAACATGTCTGATAATTGCAAGTCAGTGGGGAGTGACTGTGTGGACAATCGTTCTGTCATATATATATATACACACACACACACACACACAGTCGGAGGCTGTTTCAGCAGTGGGCAACTGTACCCAGCGCGCCTGATGCTGACTCGGTAGAATGTTAATGTTGTGAAATCCCATTAAGAGCAATCTGCCGTTGAGCAGGGCCACGCCTGGGCTCTACGGGGGACAGCGGGTCATTTTAAAAGGCCGGCAGTGTGTTTTGTGCTTTTGTAATAGAATCTAATCACTTGAGTGGCTCACACCAAATTGGATTGCTCTTTTTAAATCGCTGCCGCTCATGTTTATTTGCTCTTGAGGGCCATTTAATTGATTTTGGACGAGTGTCACCAGGAGAGAATAATTGTTGTCAGAGCCGCAGCTGCGCTTCGGTGTCTGAGGTAAATACTGCATAGTGTTGCTCTGTTTCCATCAGTTGTTTGCATTGTCCTGATGAAGTTGATTTGAAGGGACCTAATCTGTGATTGTAGGACATTGCCACTGTGGACTGACGTTTTGAAGCCTCTAGTTTGGCATTTTAGCGGCCGCCATCTTGGCTTTTTTGCAACCAATAAACAGACGGAAGTGATCATATTTGGACGGCGGCGGAGTGACGCTTTATGGTCTGTTTGACTCTAAATGGACCATGATCTACTAAATGAACATCATGCTGTATTGAAGAAGACACTAGAGAGAATGCAAGTTTAAGACAATTCAGCATTGACTTTACCCTTCACAGCCGGAGGTCTCATCTTTGTAGAACACTGGCAATGGCTTCAGACTGTCTGTGTTAAATAGGACACGAGTTTATCCTTTCTGAAATAAATTCTACTCATCGTTGTCCTCCTCTAGGCCCGGTGTGCGTGATTATAACGGAGTAGTTTACTGCTCACGTCAGCCAGGGTTGCCTGTCGCTGCTGGGTGAGCGATGCGTGCTGAAGATTGGATTCTCATCCTGCTCTTCAGGCAGATGATGGATGTTCCTCCCCACGGAGAGAGATGAAGAGAGGGGAGAGAAAGAGAGGAGGAGGAGGGGGGTGAGGATATAAGTTACTATGGCTGTTTATCTTTCACATCTGAGGAGGATGTGGTTTAAAGCGCTCCTCCTGGAAGAAGCTTCCGCCCCCACGTTTCTATACTGGTACACGGAAGCGCTGCATTGTGTGCCGCATTGAGCCGCTAACTCCTGTGAATGGAAACTACTGCCGACGGTGGTTCTGTTCACCTTGTAATGATGTGGTCAACATAGCACGAGATGATACTAGAATTTCCAACCTCAACAGCTGAATGCTGTGTGTAAAAAGGATGTGGGTGGGTATAGAAAACACAAACTAACTAGCAGTGATTTTAAGATGCCAATGTGATGGTTTTCTAATGAAGCCACTGTTTGTTATCCATGTCGAAATAAACCTCTGGTAGACTGACGTTTTTCTTTTTTCCAGAGAAAAGATCACGTGATGGGGGCGTAAAGAATTGGGGCGGAACTTTGATACTCGATCAAGAAGCAAACGTGGACGTCAGTTTCTCCTCGTCCAGACTAAAACACAACCCGCGATATTCAGCAGTGGTTTCAAACGTCTCTGTTGTTAGGGGGTTCTAAAACGCATAAACATAGCAGAAGTTATGCGTTTTTAAAGCGAACATGTAGTAGTGTGGATGTTTCCTGGGTGAGAGTCAAATGGCATATAAGGAGACGTAGAAACGGAGGAGGAGGTTAGAATAGTGGAGTGATTGATGGCTGTGGATTAGAGGGGCGTTACTGTAGCGATGGCCTTAATAAACTCTCTCTCTCTCTCTCTCTCCGGTAATACGTTAAGGTTTACAAAGCTTCTCGCTACTGAAGCCATGAGCTCAAGCTCTTACAAGCACAAGAGACGTGGTTCTGATGCTGACAATGAAAACCGTATGTCATTGATTCTTCAGATGAATAAAGACATTCATGTGAAAAGCTTTTACAGATCCTCATTTGTATCTGTGTTGGAACAATGTGACGGTCTTTTGGACTTCTTCTCTAAACTTGTGAAATGTGAGGTATTCCTCATTCTAAATACCCAAACCACAGGGTCATTGTGAGGGCAGAGTACGCACACGCACACACCTGCTGTGAATCATCTCACCTCAGGTGACCCGTAGCTCCGTGGTCTGATACTGGTCCTACATGGCTGCTCGCTGTCAGGGAGGTGAAACTGAAATGGAGGATAATGGCAGCACGTCAATATGATGAAGCAGAGACTGACGATGAGGAGTGGGTTCATAGTGCAATGCTTTGCTTTGTGATAAATAGTAAATCATTAGGGACGGGCATCGTTAGGATTTTTTTGACGCTCGTGCTCTTATCGATGCTCTTATCTTAAAAAAAGAGAATTAATGAAGAAAACAATCGATGCATGTTGTTTATTATTATTGTATGTAAACAAATGGTCTTTGTTGAGCAGCCGTACACAAAGTTCCAAAACCTTTAAAATGCAATCGTAGCTAAGCTATGAGCTTTGATTATCCTGTTATGATCAAACTCCGTATGGCATCACTAACGTTACCTGCAGTAGTAAATGGTTGTATTCATATTTAAAATCTTGGCATTAATAGTTTTAATTTTGCATTATAGGTTCATTAGACCTAGTGTTCTAATATCTTTTATATTGCTGTGAAAACATTAAAGATGTCATTCGATTATATTGTGCTTGAGTGTTTTCTTACTGTTGGACTCGTCGGGAAAACTAATTGTTATGAACATCTTTAAATAGGATGCTGACTTTGTTTAAACCAGTGATGGGTCCAGTGTTTCCTCTCTCAGGAGGAGCTGGGATAGGCTTCCTACTCGTTTTAAATGAAGAATGGTTTCATGGCAGCATCCTGTGTTAATGCACACACACACACACTTCTATTTCCAACCAGCCCTTGAAACTAGCCATTGTTTTGCAACACTACACTGCCATGAATAATTGAGTTGTCCTGTGTGCTCATGGATGTGCTCCACTGGAGTCTTACTCCACTGACTTAAAACGGCTTTGTTTTCCTGCAAGATGTCGGGATCTTTGTTCGCAGCGGTGGGTTCCATCTGAAGAACGCTCGTCATCCTTCCTGTTTCTCTACGTTCGTGCATGAATACTTTAACATTATGTAGGTCATGCGTTCTGTTTTAGCAAAATATACCACGAAGTTAGCAAATGTCCAACGTGTGCCTTGCAGATGTATTGCACCATCGAATACCAAGTGTTTGAGATAAGTTGCTACACCGTGGTGCACTTAACCAACTGTTGCCCGTTGCTCTGTTGCACGGTTCTCCTTGGGTCGGGGGGAAAAACGAGTGTTTCTGGGGCGTTTATGGAAAGCAGGAGTTTAGATCAAAGCAACGCAGAAACAGAAGACACTTTTCACACGCCTCTACTTTCTTCCCCCTCCAGATTTTGTTTAGCATTTTTAATTAGAACCGTGTCAAGTGCTTGAGCACAGCAAGCCGTCAGAGTTGATGCACATGGCGTCTGACTGTAGCTAATGACCGCTTTTCTCGGGGGGGGTAAATGAGGCCACGAGCTCAACAAATGGCACATCGAGCTGATTTGAACGACAAGAGTGACACGGCACTTTTGATCCGCTAACGTGCCGCTTCAGTTAAGCTCCATGTCATCAGAACCACCCCGTGGCCTACATGCAGAGCGCGTCGGGTCGTTTTTGAGCATGGCCAGTCAACGCTGTTAAAATGTGCCGCTTCATTGGCCGCTTTAGTCGAGGAAATATGTGAAGGAAAGACGGGACAAGCTGTGAACATTTTATTTTGGACCATTTTTATAGACAGGCGACAGGAATTTGAAAATAGATACTGGTGCTCCTGGAAACTTTGTCCTATTTATAAAAAATAACTTATTATGGTTCATGTCTTAGCAGGGAGGAGAGGGAAGCAAAGATGAGGCTTCTTCACCATAAAAGTAGTGTGGAAGTTTTAAAAAGCTCTCAAGTTGTCCAAAACAAGCCGTGGAGAATCGATCTTAAAACATTTGGAGCAACACACTAAATCAGAAACTTATTTTTATAATTGATTCCTATGCGTGCAGCTCAGAGTAATCTCAGTGACCGGCTCATCTGCCGACAACAGAGTTAAACCTTAATTAACAGAGGTTGAATTGATTATGATGCGTTCAAGTGCTGCTTAGTAACAAATGAGCTCCGCATGAAGGTAAATTATAACGCTGTCACAAAGTTCATAATGAATACAGTTGTTTGAAGGAGATATGATAAAATGGATATTGGAGAGAAAATTAAGTATTTCAAATACAATCTTTAATTTCCTGCAGAACGATGACTTTCAGTATTTGTGACTGTTTGCACTGACTTCAGCACAGTTGAAATTAGTTTTCTCTGCGGTTCCAGTAAGTTAGTATGGAGCCTTGCTGCAAATTATAGTTGATAAAAAATCTAATTGGAATCGGGACATCTCTGGTCGTCTCTATTATTCCCTCTGAGAGAATAAAGGGAGCTGCTGATCGTTTTTTATTTTATTTTTTTTTCAAATGAGAAGTTGGACTCTTCGTAGTCACCGCAATCCAAAAGTTGTGATGAGGGAATGAATCTTATTTACTAGCTGTCAGTTGAACAAAGGACAGCGCTTCATATTCTGGGAGGTTTTGGGGTTCACAATTTTAACAATCTCCAGGCCGAGACGTGACTGTTTGGTGTGTGAAGTATTTTGGGGATTTATTTATAGTTTCTTCAGTGTAACAAGGAGGCGATGATGAAGCACCCTCGAGCTCCTAACAAGGTGCTCCGTCTTCACGCCGCCGTGTCGCGTGTCTTTATTCCATGATTTAATAGGCTCTCTCTGACGGCCGCTATGTCAGCCCAGGCCCGTATACGACTGACTCAGACAATAGACGTCGTCTGGTCGCTTGAGAATGTTTTCGGGTTGAAACGCACGAGGCTGGAAGGAGAGAAGGAGGGTAAGGCAGAAACCATTGAGGGCTGAAGTCTCCTACTGATAAATGGTTCACCCCCTCTTCCTTCTAACCACCATTTAAACTGTCAAGTCATTAGAAGCTGCAGTTCTACATAACCCCCCCCCCCCTCCCATTGTCTGTCAGCTGGCGTCTTCTTTTCCTCTTGTGCAGCATGTTGAATTGCACGCCCAAGTGTTTGTGAGCTAATTTAAATCCGTCACTGTGCACAGATTGTCCTCTTTAATTATCAGCGGATGATAACATGTCAGTAGAACAGATGTTAATGCATACCTGTGCACTAATTCAACTTGTCCAATAATTGAAATTACAGTGTTGAACATGCCGGCACTGGAGCAGAATAAAAAAAATAATAAAACCGTTCTTTTTAGTGGAAGAACCCTGCAGCCGCTGAGGACGTAGGGCTTTGAACAAAGGTAGTGCGATGCTGAAAGAGAGAGGCGGACTTAAAGTTACTGTGAGGAACTTATAACTGGTCATGAAACGGTGATGCCTCAATATGACCCACACAAGTAAACAAGACCATCAGAGAGAAGATGGTCTATTTATACATTCTTAATGCTCGTCATCGGTGCCACCGGGTCTGATTCTGATGAACTCGTGCAGGTTCACCAGAAACCCCTTCAGCTCAGACTCCAGCAGAGACCAGTAGTCTCTCCTTCCAGCTCCTTGTAGTAACTTTAAGTATATGCTGGATCATGGATCACGCTAGTGGTGTTTGACCAGAGAAGAGAAGTTTTTATGCTCACGAATGTTTCTACCTCAGTCGGACCACTTTTACTTTTGTTTCCACACCGGCTCACTTGCTGTGAGACCGAGGGGCATCAGAGCGTTACTGTGTGAGGCCGCACACACTCTCAGGGCCTGGATCAGTTGGTTAGATGTGTTTTTCTCTGTAGTATAATTTGGAAGAGATGCAGCTCGTCTCCACCATATTGAATCAGTGGATCATTTCTGATGCCATTAGACCTGCAATCAATAACACCTGCCTTGTCTTAAATAAGATGATGTTGTTGTTGTTTTGCTCATTGATCCACGGTTCTTCAAGTTTTCACTAGTAGTTTAATCGATCCACTGATGTTTTTTTGTTTAATAGGTACAGTTTCCTAATGAACTCCACACCTTAGAGCACCTTAATGTCTTTAGAGGGTCTCTGGTGCCCTGTGGTTCATTTAATCAATGATCACAACCTCCTCTGCACCATCAGCACTCCCTCCATCTCATTTCAGTGCATAATTATCAACACGACACCCTTTTGCAGAGTTGTTTGTGTAGTAAAAAAAGAGGCAGCGATGATGTCTCACTCTATTTACATGCACACAGGAAACCGGGTTGCTGGCTTTCTATGAATCACAAAGATGAAAAACATATTTTCTCATGTACGCGTTCAAAGTCTATGATTTATATTTTTTTCTTAAATGCATATAAATGCGCCGATTTCCTCTGAATCTCTTCAGGTGGACCCCGGTGTGACCGGCCAACACTGGAAGACTCGGCAGACAAAATAGCTGCTCCACTGAAGCCCCACTCGTAAAGAGTGAGTGCTCTCCTACCAGAGGAGCTTATGAGTAAAGTAGCTCTTGAGCACACGGAGTAATGTCTGCAGCAGAGCGGCTCCCTGGGCTGCTTTTCATTTGCATCTTTTACGTGAAGAACCCTCAGTCATAACTGTAGGAAGTACTAACACCTGTATTTATTTTACTTCTTAGATTGGTTGTCAGTATTCCCTTGGTTTGATCGCTGACTTAACCAACAATGACTGATGGGACACCGTGTCTTTAATGTTAGAAGAGGTGTGGTCTTAAAATTTGATGAGCTTTAAGATTGCACAGGGTCATGAATATTCAAAAGATCAGTCCCTCTCTTCCTCGTCCTTCCTTCCTCTTCCTCTGCTTCATCTCGGCCTGAATCTGAACTGGACTCAAACCAGCACAGGTTTACTCAGGAGAGCATCCACCAGCACTGAACGTGTGTATAATGCAGAACATTATGTCAGACCATTGCCTCTAATCGCACCGTCGTGTTTGAGCTCATTAAGATGCTCTGTGAACTACCTTACCTTCTTTCAAGGCTGCTGTAAAAGAGCCAATATGAATTTTAAACATGTGCTATTTCTGTTTATCAAAACACCACCCTTCAGATGTAATGGAGCTTTTTCATCAATGTGCAAACACCGTCTCGTGTTTCTTTGCTAATCGAACCTTTTCGTCTTTTCTCAGCAGGAACTAACCGGAGCTTGGTATCGGTGCCGGTGCCCCCGTTGGCTCCGTGGAGATGCTCTGTTCTCTAGACTTCCTCAGTCTGATGGATTAAGAGGTGAGTGTGCTCATCACCTTCACTACGAGCTTCAGCACCGCTGCTCCGTCTCTGTTCAAACCCCAGAGCTGGTTAATAGGGATGCGTTGTGTTGGRTGATATCGGAGGTGATTGATGGTGGTACATTTATTAGAGTACTGTACTCRAGTACGGTTTTGAGGYGTCTTGTGCTTAACGTGAGTATTTAAATTTTCTACTCRATTCAGAGGGAGATATTGTACTTTACAAACATTCCGTTTTATCTGGTGCTTTAGTTGCTGATTATTATCTGGTGCTTTAGTTGCTGATTATTATCTGGTGCTTTAGTTGCTGGTTATCATCTGGTGCTTTAGTTGCTGGTTATTATCTGGTGCTTTAGTTGCTGGTTATCATCTGGTGCTTTAGTTGCTGGTTATCATCTGGTGCTTTAGTTGCTGGTTATCATCTGGTGCTTTAGTTGCTGGTTATCTTTTTTAAATGGACGTCGTTTATTCATGTCTGGCTACCTTTACACGAGTAAAGGATCTGATCACTTCTGTGACTGTCGAGTGACGTGTCTCTGCTTCAAAATGACAAAGCGTCCCACTGGTGACAGTCTACCTCCATCCCCCAGCTGTGGAAACCTGATCGGACTGGTTTGGGCTTACCTGTAGGCACAAGGGGAACTGATCCAAGACGGGCTGCTAAATATTGCAGAAGCCCATATGTAGTGCAGGCCTGGAGAGCTTAGGCTCAGGTTTCATCCTGTGAAGGCCTGTGTTGCTGCAGTGCACTTCAGAATTGCATTACAGCGTGCTGCTGACCCATGTCTTCTCTTTAGTGAAAGATGTAAAGCTACAGCATCAGATCTTTAATAAAGTAGGTTTAGTTGCAGCATCAGGATTTACAGAAAACAGCACCTAGCTTGAGTTTTGCTCACATACGTCCAGACAAAGATGTTTTTAAGTGAATCAAGACCTCAAAGCACGTGGTTAAGGTTGCTCTGGTGCATCAGTAAAGTAACAGTCATACACTGTGCACTTCAATTAATTATACAGATAACAATCACCCCAACATGTGACCACATAGAATGTTTCTTTATACTTCAATGCTGAGTGAATAACGGCTATGTTTAGCATGTGAGACTGGCTCATGTGTCACATGACCAACACAATGGCCCCACGAAACAACAGAAGCCCCATCCATTGTAATCCAATCCAGTACTCATGAGACGATCAGTCTACGTTCCCTTGCAGAAGCTGTTTAAAAAGGTTTCTGGTTGTATTTTATTCACGGGCTTGTTGTGGAAACGCCTGTTTTTAAATGAAATAAACCAAATAAACCAAAATGTGATATAAAGCCAACTCCGAGCTAATGAGATCACTGATTCAGCTCTTGTATATTTCATGGCTTTGACCTGAGACAGAAGACAACGGGCAAGTAAAGGTTTGCACCCACAACAGCACATATTAAATATGTAATATTATGAGTAAAGTATAACTGCACTATACAAAGGACTTGTGGCAGCAGGTTGTAGACCAGCAGAAAGACTTCACACAAGTGTAGCTGAACTTTAAAGAAAACTCTGTTTCAGTCTGACCATGTGATTGTGACACTCGTTAAAGCTAGGCTTGGTAATCTTCTTTTGTTATGTTCGTTAAAATTCTCTCTACGTCCCGACAGCTATTCATAAATCAAATGCTGACAAAAACCTGATAATATCCACCATCTCTGGCTGTCGTAGGACTGTAATAAACTCTTTAATCATTTAATTTGGCCCAAATTAAGTGTGTGTGTGTGTGGTACACCAGTCTAACTCCTCAGCTATGCTCAAACAGTAAACTCTAATGGACACTAGACAAACACGGCTTTCCCTGGATGCCTACATGGCTACAACCAAAAGATTAAATATTTGCACTGCTGTTTTTATTTTTTATATGGCTGCAACTATTTCTATACTGAAAGAACTGATTCATTTGCTAATTATGTTGAGGTTTAGACCTGTCATCACTGTATCCCAGAGCCCCTAACGTTCTCAAACGTCTTGTTTTATGTGACCAACAAATGTTGCGTAACGGAAGACTAAGAACAGAAGGAAACTCGCATTCAAAAAGCAGGAACCTTCATACGTTTTGGAGGTTTTACTTGAAGAATTATTTGAACCGATTCCGTTGATGCTCAAAATATTTGCAGATTATTCAAGGACTTGATAAATTACTTGCACCCAGCAAAGGCTGTTTATGCAGATGAGCGTTGGATAATATCTGTTCAGGCTGTGAAATGAGTCTCTCCCCCGGCATTCACATCTTTATTTCTTTCTCAGCTAAACGCCTACACACAGTTTAGATTACAATATGGCCGCCACCATGAGTCACATCATCCATACTCTTTACCTGCCGCGTCCTGTTGAGGGTCAACAGATGCTGCAGCACGTCCCAACCACCAAACAAACACGGAGACGAGCAGACCCACGTCAGCAATTTAGAGTTCCGTACTCGACCCCCCTTCTTGTCGTTGGACCGTGGGAGGAAACCAGAGCAGTCGGAGAAAATCCACACAAACACACAGAGCGCCCACAGAATGTGTGGCGTCGGTGAAAGTGCTGAGCAACGAAGCCCCACCAGTGTTGAGGTGTTGCATTAAAAATATTGCCGCATGGGAATGTAAATATCAACGAGCTCCAGCTTGTGTATTTTGGGACTTGCGGTGTGAAAGAATGTGCTTATTTTACCTGCTGATCACATCTGCTGCCATGACAATATTTGTGGGAGACATTGGGTATCTCTGGTGTTTGGACGGCGGTGCTGCGTTTGTGGACACATGAAGGAGCGGGACTCCCAGAGAGGGTTAGCTTTGGCTGCTGCCACTTCCAACACGTGGTTGCCAACAATTTCTTCTCCTGTGTGAGGGGAGACATGGAGGCGGCCGGACGGCGGCTCATCCTCAGACGTTGGGCGCGTCTTTGGTCTGAGGAGCAGGAAGCCATTTGGACAAATGGGTCTATTATTGACTGGCCTGCTAGACTCTTCCATCTGCACACTGTGCAGTCGTCTATCTGCTTTATGGCAGATGAAGGGAAAAGCTTTTCTTTTTTTCAATCGTAGTGCAGTTTATATGGTCTGCTGTTTTTTTAAATTTTATTATGATTGACTCGGCTGAGACCAACAGTCATGTGATAAAAATCCTTGAAACGTTGACTGTACTTCAGGCTGCAGAACGCAGAGAGGAGACGGGATAGGTTGTAAAAATGTAAATAGTTCAATGAATACGGCTCATAAAGCCTCTTTTCCCTACATTAACTCAAGTGGGCACTTGGAAATATGGACATATACTGTAGATTCCACCGTTTTCAAATTTTTGTAAAATAAAATGTGACGTGAGCAGGAGAACCAAACTGCTTGAGTTCAGAGGGTGAAACAGTAATGTGCTGTAGGTTGAACTATTTATTCTTAACCAGCGACTTTTTCCCATCTTTGTTTGTTTCTGTGAATTCATTCTTTGACTTGTTTTCTTGCCAATTTCCCAAACCGTAGTCCGTCCCTGTAATGAGAGAAAGAGGGGGGGAGAAGAGGCTTCCTTGTCTCCCAGGGGAGAAAGATGAGATGACGAGCAGCATGGATACATAGGTGGAGAGCGGGGGGGGGATGGTTGCGGGGGCCAGGGAGGGAGGAAGTGAGAAGATTGTGGGGTGGGGGTGGGGGGGATTCTTCCTATTGGGACACATTTATTGGCTTTAACGGCAAAACTAGAAGCCCCAGATAATGCTGACGTGGTCTGTTACACCCTCAGGCCTCGTTACGTTAGTTCCAGTGGAAAGTTCATGTTTAGTTAATGTTTAGACATCAACACAATGTGCAAAACCCAGCCAGCGTCATTTCAGTGAGACCACTGCATTAATAAATGCCCCAAAGAAATGACCCGGAAATGGAAATATTTAAATTTTTTTTTTTTTTTTTTTTGTTTTTTAAGTCACCAGCATGGCTGTAGTGTTTAAAATGTGTTTGTTTTAAAGGACAAATAACGGATTGCAACGAACAAATAAATGCACTCTTTTATTCTTTTTATCAACCCACTTTAATATTTAATTTGAAGAAAACAACTTTATGGATGTGAATGTCTTCATCAAGATGTCTGAACTACAAAACTTCCAAAGCAAATGTGAGAATCGGCATCCAGATATCCTACAGTGTGATGGGATGAATGAATGAATTAACTGAGGCAAAGCACTAATGACTGAGTGAGGGTACACCAAGTTCTATTCGTTAAACAAAGGTCGGAGTAAGAAGAAGACGGCGTCTGTTTCTAGAGGTAAATAGGTGGAACATGACTTCCTGGTAAATGTAGAAATCAGTATATCTTAGTTGTTGTCCAGACTCGGCTTGTTGTCACTGTAAACTTGCTTGTGGACCAACGTACTGGTGTGCAATCGTGTAAATCCTTCGTCCTAAATAACGTAGTCGGCATAAAATACCGTTTGAATGCAACAAAAACAGACTTCCAAAGAGCATCTGCTTTGGTAATAATACATTTTATTTATATAGCGCTCTTCAAAATACTCACACTTTATATATATATGTATGTATGTATGTATGTATGTATGTATGAATAAATAAATTAAAAAAAGCAATGCACTAAAAGCATAAGGTAAATGTGTGTTTCTTCTGGAGAGTGGGTGGTTTTGTGCTGCTTGGTTGAAACACCGAGCGTGCTCCGCTCAAAGCCCTCCCTCCCTCCCTCCAGCAGCTGTTTTCCTGCCTTTAGCTGGGAACTGGAGCCAGGCTGTTCTATCCCCCCCCCCCCCGATCCTCGTGTCACAAGCAGGAACTTACGGACACACACGCGCACTCTTTTAGTCTGTCTCGTCTGAGTACTGAGCTCGTCGTGTTCCCTCTCTTCTCCTTCTTCTTCTTGGCGGCTGTGATTGTGTGTTCACGGCGCCGTGTGAGAGCCGCCGCACTGTTTTTCGGGGAAGTGCTTTCATGGTAAGATGCCTCTCCTCTTTCTCGGAGGCCACTGAAGTCACTTGACCTCTTCTTCGCTGGTGCTGCTTTCCGTCTGACTGTTTTCTCGGGTTTCCCCCCCCGACTGTTGCTGGACTTCTATCCTGACAGTTTTCACAAAGTTTCAGCGTTCTCGTGTCCGCATGTACCAGAAAAACACCTTGGAATGATTGAAATATACGACAGCTTTGATTGTTTGTTAGGCTACGTCTCAAGTGAAAGTCTGTTTTTAAAAGAAGTTTAGCGCTTAGTGTAACTGTTTAATGTTTGAGATGTCCCTACAAGTTATTCTTTTTGATAGTAAAACAAGAGCTTCTTAATTCCGTTGAAGTCCACTTTAATGAAGATGTTCCCGTGTACTACTAACCCGGTATGATTACTGCCATTGTCTCAGGTTGAACTCTTTGAAGACATGCAGTGACTGAATGCTTCTAGAGATGACCTCATCGTTTTCTTTCTTGTTATAGCAGCAGGTACACACGGCTACAGACTTTCTAAATGTTGTCCTCTATAGTGGTTATTTACATCAAAACACACTTGATAGTTTTAATGCGTTTTAAGCTGCTTGGAGCTAGTTTTAGGACGTTAAAGGAGGTAATGCTGGATCAATTAGAAAATATTCTCCCTATTAGCCACGTGGAGACAAAATGCATGTGGAACTTACCCTTTAAGTCCTCTTCAACACAGTGAAAAGCTTTGGTCAGTTGACCGCTGGCGTGTGCGTACATCCTGTGCAGGATGAAAAGTCATTAGTAGTCCTTTGTTGGTGTCTAAAAAAGAAAAGAACCTGAAAACCTTTTCATTCACCGGTGAAGCTACAATCAGTCCTGTTGTATGCTCGGAATACGAATTGGCAATAGGTCTGTTTAAAAAAAAATTTGAAGCAGTTTGTTTTTAAGCTTTGCACCGTACTCGCCGGCGTGCATTTTATTTTTTTAAATATTTTTTTCTGTGCTTGTAGAAGAAAAAAGAAGCAGCGTTCAAAATCCTGAGAGCACCAACCAAAATTGAAATGTACTGCGTAGCTTCGTGTCAGAATTCGTCCACCGTTAACTCTGTGAACACCGAGCTGTTCTGGGGGCTTTGTTGCTCTCCGTGGCCTCGTCTTCTATAGAAGCAGCACAACCACGGCTAGAAGTAGAGACGACTAGAACATGTCTTTTGTGCAGTATAACACAGTCACCATGACATAAATCACAAAAGAACTTTCGAGATAATTTATCCTACAAATATTGGAAAACAATGGAATCTATTTATCCAACATATTTCTAAGTGTTACCAATGTTTAAAAAAGGAGGCTGTACTTGCTATATTCATTGAATTATGTACATTTTATAACCTTTACTTACAGCCTCTCCTCTCTGCTCTGTGTTCAGCAGCCCGAAGTTCAAAGTTTCAAAGAATTGTTGTCACGTGACTGTTGGTCTCAGGTGAATCTATCATGGTTTCCTAGTTGCGCTGAGAAGTGCAGAATTTAATGTTTTTTTTTTTTTTACAGAATCTGGTTGAAGCAAAAGGTTAATTCGGGACAAAATTTTAAAAGACATTTAATATAAAATATTTTTTATGAAATATGACTTAGTTTTGTTTTGGTTGCTTTTTCCGACAGAAGCGTTCGTCGCACATGAAGCGTTCAAGTATTGTCGGAAAGGTGAACATCTGACTATAATAACGGTCTTTACAGCTTCTGGCTGTGATAAACGATGTCGTGTTGCCGATTGTTTAAAGAAAACATGCTTTTCAATCCTGCCCGTGGGTTTTAGGTTTCAGAGGGTTGGTATTTATGCTTTGGATTATACTCTTCCTGCTACCGTTATCTTTAAAACAATCCCTAAAGATCTATGCATTATCATCTTGGCACCTATGGTTGTTTGCCTTCATGTTAATTTATATCACACATGCATAGATGAACCTGCAGAACAGTTGACGTGGTAAATAATTTCGGGGCAATGCTTGTTAGGACGGTCTGTGTCTGTGTGTGTGTGATATGTGATATATGCTAACAATGGCTGTCACGCTACCAGCGGCCCTCTCCGTGCCACTGCCTCCCTTTCTGCTCTGAGATAACCAGTTTGTGCCGTGGAGTCTGGTCAGGTTGCTTCTCCTTGAGCGTCCCGTCTCCGCTGCCCCTCAGAGCGGAAGAATAAAACACTGGATTTTCTTTTAAAGCGGTGGAGGAGATGAAGCAGATTGTTCTTGGTTGCTCCTCGCTGTATTTGGAAGTGGATAATCCCCTTCCTCTAAATTCAGCGCTTTTTAATCCGGAGAGAGCGGTGAGGTTAGACGGCACATCTCATCCCGTCTTTCTAGCACATTTGTTTTTTTTGTTATCTCCCACCATCACCCGTCACTCACCCGCTCTCAATGCGCCTCACTTCTGTCATCAGTTCTCCCATCGTTGGTATACTTCATCGTCTGACTCTCTGTGGAAACGGACCTTCTTCACAGCCAGCTTTGTATTCTGTCCCTTCACTCGCCTTTTAGATATCAAACCAGCTTCTGCATTTCATGTCTGCTCATTGTAGGTTTGAAGCAGCACTTTGACTTTGTCTCCTGCTCCTCCTGAATATCTCTGAAAATGAACTACGAGTGTCTTTGTTGTGAGCACACAGTCAGTAGTTTGAAGCTGAACTCTCCCACTATTTGTTTTTGCAGGCATCTTTATTTTTATTCATAGTGAGACGTCGTACCTGGTGTTTCACTGAGGCTTACCAACTGTGCCGAGTCTCTAAGGAAATAACGGAATGACTGTAGGGTTTCCACAGCTGTTTATTTCGGAAATTGCTCCTTCGCCTTCCTTCCATAAGAAATGAATACCTCGTTGTATATTAATACCTTCGTCATATTCATTTCTGCAGCAGATGAAAGTGCTAGAATATTTGCTATAACAGCGTGTTATTGACCAGCATGTCCCGGTAGCTTTGTTTTTATGTGCGGTTTGAAATATCTCATCAGAGGAGCTGCACGAAATAACAAAAAACTAAAAGTTAGTCAATTTGTGGTGGTTTCTGAATTTGTCGAAAAAGAGTTGACTCGTTAAGTGGATTGTGGAAACGACACTGCTCACATCGGGGTAGAAGATGACTCTCGTTCACCAAGTTTATGTAGATAAAAGGCTCAATAAGGTGTGTGTGTGTGTGTGTTGGCAGTAGCTTTCTGCACAGGAGGGTGTAGCGTATTGGCAGTGGAGCACTGGGGTGAAGTTGATTTGAAGTTTGGTATTCACCGGCTGGAAGTGCCTTTTTGATGTCGGCAGCTCCATGTGGACGACATCAAATCTCCCCAAAGGCTTTTTTTTCCACAGAGGCCGACAGGAGCACCTGTCTCTCTCTCTCTGTGTCTTGCTCTCAAACACCCTCTGGCTGGAATCCCTAATCGCTGATGCAGCCAGTGTGTGGCAGAAAGCAGCTGGAAAGCCTTTCATGGGCTGTGAAGGTGGGTCGATTTTCAGGTTTTGCTTTACAAGCGTAAACAGTTTTCATTTTATGCAAACCGGCTTTTGTTATTATGACTCGTGGCAAAGTCTTTTCATAGGTACGCCTCACCGGGTTTTATAGGAAAAGAATCGGCACGGAGCGTTCAGTTGATCAGCCAAAAAACGCGTTTTTCCTCCGGCAAACCCCGAGGGATAGAATTAACATACAGGCATACATTAACACATCTGTTAGTAATGAGCAGTACGACAACGGGATTAACATCATTCATGTTTCTTTTATAAACTGCAAGTGTGTGACAGGCCGTCCAGAGTTTAATGCAGAGGCAACATGAAGGAGATCACATTTCAGTCCAGGAGAGAAGATGCTCACTGCACGTAGTGGTGTTTTTTTTATTTATTTTTTGGGGGGTGACGAGTCATTGCAGAGTCAGAAAACTAAAACCGCGGCATTTTGGATTTGAAGCGAGCTGAAAGACGTAGACGAGTCGAGGTGTAATCGCTGCAGCAGTTGCCACACTTTGATTCACGGGCTCAGTGTGTCATTATTGTGCCAGTAGTAGAGTCTAGAATACCGGTCCTACTCAGGTTAGCTTAGTGTCATGTCTGGTTTGAGAGCAGATGATAATAATAATAATAATAATAATAATGCCTCTCTTTCCTTCTTAAATTAAATTATTCTTTTAAAGTTCTGCTGTAATATTTGAACCCTGCTGGATACTCGGGCAGACGAGTTTGAAACATCTGATTTCCTCAGTTAAACTATTGTATGCGACCACTATGACGAGCCACACACACACACACACACTCTCTCTCTCAGACATCGTCATGTAATAACAGACTTGGGCCTTTGGATACATAACACCAGATTTAGAAGTGTGTGTGTGCGCAGTCGAGGCTTTTCCTCGTCATGTTTTCCCTCTCTCCTCCTCCCATAAATCACCGCCTCATCGTCCCCCCGCTGACAGTAAATGCTTGAGGAATTGCCAGCAAAATGTGTGCATGAGCGGTATGCGATTTAATTTAGTTGTGCGTGCGGCACACATGTCAGCTGACTAGATATCTGCTGTGATGACAATCTTTTGACAACATTATTGTGTGATAACTATTGCTTCATCTGAATGAATTAATATGGAAATGTATGGGAACGTGTCACTTTTCATGGGTCGTGGTCATGAGATGGTGTTCTGGCAATTACTTTGTTCCCCAGCAAGTGTTGGAGCTGCCAGTCTGGTGTGTTGTGAAAGCTGCTGCCCATTTATCAGGTTATATTTCCTGTCTTGATCCATCGTCTCCTTTCACCTCCATTCACGACGCATGTGTTTCCTTGACAAAGGAAACTAGTCATGCACGGATTGCAGTTATGTCAGTTATGTCTGTTGCACGTGATGTTGCCGCATGTTGGCGTGCCCCACCGGTTTGCTCTGAGTGGCGGTTACAGCTGATAACCCAAAGTTAAACACTGTTAGCCCTGCGCCGTTTGCACCTCAGCCGTGACCATGTTGAGAGCCGTTGAGATGGAATGAAAACGTTCCTAATCCCATATCTTATACTGTTTTAAATTGGTAAAGAAACCACACTTGCATCAGTAGCCTAATGCATAAATATGAAGCAGCATAGCCCTACAGGGACTCGTAAAGGGGGAGGGAAATGCTTCATAGGAAATAATGAATTCAGGTGGGCGGCGGGTTGATTTATACAGGCCGATACTGGGAGCACAAAATATGCTCTTCGTTGCGATCAGAAGCCACAATAACGAATGCATGGCTCTCTGTCAGTTGAGAATATACGGAAGCTGAGATTCCACTCGGCTGTGTTTATTTAAATGCAGGCAAACAATGTCTCATGTGAGCTCTGGACGTGGTTGCAGACGCACACAGCATCTGTGTGTTTGAGAGACTAAAGCCTACCCTTGTGGTTCAGTACCAGTTACTGTTCTGTACTTTCCCCGGAAGAGTCGTGTGGAGTCCTTTCCTGAGAAACTATAGGGCAGTGGGGGAAACATTTGAAGCAGTGCACACAGGAGAGGGGAGAAGGAGAAATGTCAGCACAGCTTCTCTGGACTCGGTCACGCAGTGAAACATGTTTGGAAGTAACTGAAGACGTTCTGTTTGTTTGTGTGTACATGTTACATTGTCTTATAATAACCTAAAATGATGGTTTGCTTGGTAAAGAATTAATTGGCTAGGAAGAAGGAAATTATGCCGACTAGTCAGCATCACGTTTGTACCATTTAGTATTTAATTATTGGATGGTTGCTCATAAAACTTGTACCTCCTTAAAAAGCACTAAGCCCTTATGTGTTCAAAGTTACTGTGAGGACCTTTTGACTGATTCTGAAACTCCAGCAGAGACCAGTCCACCGCGGTCAGACCTGGACCTGGCTTTACTCCAGCCTTTGATCCTGCTGCAGTGAAATAAGAGGTTTTCTAAAGGGACTCCGGTCTGAAGCATTAGCACTACTGTCCACAGGGACCACGACAATCATCCCAACATGAAATATCCTCAGCTTGTATAAATGTGCAGTAGAGAGCCAGCTTACATACGCTGCCTGATGTAATCCTTTTTCAAATTGCTGTCAAGGTATCGAGTGACAAAAAACATTCATTTGTACACACAGACACTTAAATGTGTTTTTCCACACATCAGACTGATAACTGAGGACAAGAAATGCTTTTCTGCTGAAATGCTAGAAGTGAAGAGAAGTTCATCCTTCACTTCTCTGTCCTTGTCATTTCCTGTCCTCCCCACAGCTCTGCCTGGAAGCCGGCGCTGTTTCTGCCTTCCTCGGCGTAAATAATTCTGTGCGTTTGTATTTCAGGAGTGTGGTTCCCCCTGGCTGAAGACGGCGTGCGTGTCCCACAGCACCTTTCTACCCAGGACCCACTGTGTTACCGTTGCGCCCATGAGGTAACGTCAGGACCTAGCGCCCCCTCATCACCACCCTCGGTCCATCCATCTCCCTCCCCTCTGGTCCCTCTTTCCCTCTGACCCACCCAGCCATGGGCCAGAAGATCTCTGGCAGCATCAAGTCGGTGGATGTACGCGGGGAGCCCTCGTATCGGCCCGTACGCCGCGAACTGCGGGGCCCGGATTTCTGTCGGCCCCCCAGGCTGGACTTGCTGCTGGACATGCCGGCGGCCAGCCCCGAGACCCAGCTCCGCCACGCCTGGAACCCGGACGACCGGTCGCTCAACGTCTTCGTCAAGGAGGACGACAAGCTGACGTTTCACCGACATCCAGTGGCACAGAGCACAGACTGTATCCGCGGCAAGGTGGGCTACACCAGGGGCCTCCACGTGTGGAGGATTCACTGGCCGGCTCGACAGAGAGGCACCCACGCCGTCGTGGGCGTGGCCTCCGCCGAGGCGTCTTTACACTCGGTTGGCTACACAGCCCTGGTGGGCTCCGACCCGGAGTCCTGGGGCTGGGACCTGGGTCGCAACAGACTCTACCATGATGGAAAGAACCGGCCCGTCTCCATGTCGGCACCCACGTATCCCTGTTTCCTGGAGCCAGACGAGTCGTTTGTGCTCCCAGACTCTCTGACAGTAATACTAGACATGGACGAAGGAACGCTGAGCTTCATGGTAGACGGACAGTATCTGGGAGTAGCTTTTAGAGGGCTCAAAGGCAAGAGACTGTATCCCATCGTCAGCGCTGTGTGGGGGCACTGTGAAGTTTCTATTCGCTACGTCAACGGACTAGATCGTAAGTGGCACAAATCTGACACGCATACACACACGCTTGAAAAAAAAAACAGTCAGTGATGGAATATATTTGACAAGTTGCTGAACAGTGATTGTGTAACTTGTGCAGATATGTCGTTGTTCATATGGCTGTTTGATGGCAGGAAGAATGATGGCAATATGATGTATGAAGTGTCGTATTGTGAGGCAAGTCTGTTGATGTGAACCTTGTCATTAGAGATGTCCCAAAGCTAAGTACAGTATACGGCAGATCCGTGCATATTTTATTGATTGGTATAAATCGGCTAAAATAAAACGGCTGCTCCAGTTTCCTTTCCACCACCAAAACATTTGGTCGGACCGGTGGTTGGCTCAGTTCTGACACTCAGGTTGGGAAAGTACATTGATTCGTTAACCTCCGATGGTAGTCAATCTGCCATCCCTCCTCTGATGGAGCAATGCACAAATCGTGAAGCTCATTTTTCTCTAGATAAAATGACAGCAGCTGGTCATATCACTAATTAATGTTAAATCTCTGATTAACATTATGGCAGGAAAGACAAATGTTTGTTTGTGTTCTCTCTGCCTGTATCAGCCAAAGACTGCAGTAAAAGGAGCATCACTTTCTGACGCCACTGTATAACTGCGAGTGGACTGAGTGTGTCTGGAGTTCCAACAACTCGCCATTTACCATTGCCACTTTCAGTGTTTGGATCAATGTTAAAATACTTTGATCGGGAGCTGGTACACGCCCACTCGTCATATTTCAAAGTGTTTTTGGCCCTGATCCAGATCAGTCTTCAAACTGTCCGTTCCTCCTGGTTGTGTTCAGTTTTGGAGTTGTATAATTTGTCAGTGTATTTTGGTATGAAGTAAAGGATTTAAAGAGTTTTCCCTCTACAGCAAATGGTAAAGCTGAGTCTCGGATGCGTTCCTCAGCACAAGACGTCCTTGCTGCGTTCTCTGCTCACAGATATGCTTTGATGAGAAAACGTGTGAACCTTTCCAGCCTAATCCCAGTTTAAGTGTAGCACACTCTCGTTCGTTAGAGGCTGTCATGCAGCCTTTAAAGATGTGTTTATATTACCGCGTATTACATCAAATGCATGTAACTTAGTTTACACAATCCTCTTCCAAGTAGTAAGACCGGTGCCTGTTTCAGTACCGCTGTGTGCATTGGTGCAACTGCAGAGAGGTGGATGTGGTGGGTAACATATCACGGTGCAGAGATGTTTTGTTCGTCTACGAAACTCTAGATGGGTTTTATATTTAGACGTGCTCATCAGGGCTGTGCAGGCCCAGGGTGAGATTTAATTCATTCTGTAACAACTTTGGGGTTTTTGTAACTGGATTCCCAAAGTAGGACCGGAGGAGAAACGGGAGAAACACAATTCTGAGAAAGACGCGTGTGTTCAGGCTGTGTGTCTCTAGTTGCATGACAAAGTAAGATTGTTTTGAAGACGGAAAGAACAGTGTGAGTCAGACAGCTGAGTCATTTTGACAGTTTATAGAAACCTCCCAACTCACTTACAATCCTGTGTCTGAAATTGTAGCTTTACTGTGTAAGGACATCAGAGGCAACCACTTTTAATATATAATAAATGGGGACAGCCAACAGTCAAAACGTGCACCCCAAAAATATATAAAATTTTGTAAAGTATCAGATCTACAATAACAATCATTTACTGTGATGAAGCTTTTTTTCTTTTACGTCACATTTTCATTATTAAGCTGACTTATAACTGCATAGTATCTGAATCGCTCAAAATATAAGGAGACTAAAAATGGCTACTGAGCCCTGTCCTCCTCGCACCTGGTCTTGGTTCAGGATTTAAGGGTTGAGGCCAGACTGGGAAGGCTTTACTTGCAGATCTGTCTTTTTTTTTTTTTTTTTATATTTTTGTATTTATTTATTTTGTATTTATTTATTTATTTTTCTTCAGAGATCCACAATGAAAGGGGGCTGCTGCTTTGTTTACCAATAGGAAGCAGCTTAACATCCTGCCTGTGTACTATTTCTTTTTAGCATTCTCTCCAACAGTCTTCTAACTTTAACAGACTCAGAAAACTGTATCCATCACTGAGATGAAATAAGAACATCTGTTTCACCACTGTCCTGAAGTCCCCATAAGGATCGGTGTGTGTCTCTGCTCGTCTTTCCCAATGTTCCTCTCTGCCC